TCAGGAATTCCTGCTTCAGCTCATCTTCTAGACCAAATTGTCTGTACTTTTAAGGCTTTCAGCAGCAGCACTCAGTACTGTGGCACAGGTACACCTGGCACTGTGTTCACAAAAATATGTCTACAAGATATTTTGCTCTGCCGTCCTACTGAAGTCTCTGACATCCACGCATCACAACTGTCCTCAAGGTGCTCTCCTCATAAAATAATTATCAGAAGCATATGAGATGTAGTTTTCTTATGATGGACAGCACACTTTTTGCAGGCTTTGGCCCTGGTTATGGGGTGGTTTGTTTTCACTTAATAAAGCATAACCAAACTATGCAATACTAAAGATGGTTCTTAGAGCCCTGCTAAAAATTCCCCACACAGTTGGCTGGGTAGGATTTAAAACTCTGCCCTATTCTTAGAAGTGCATATCTGCAGCAGTTGGAAAAAGCTAGGTTGTGAGCAATGTGTTCCACAACATGTGTAAGGCACCCATCCTGTGTATTTCAGATTCTGTGGGTTTGTTTCAGTTTACATTTATAAAACAAAACAAACAAACTCTGAAAAAACTCCTCAAATGACCACAAAACAAACACAGACCTATCACTTACCTGGGCGTCTGAACACATTCTATTAAGAGTCTCACATTTGATATCACCACGGTAATTACACTTAAACTATTCACTGAAGTGGGATTTTCAGATGAGACACAACAGAGTGTTAAAGGTGCTTTGGAAAACCTCGCACATCCAGAGGTTCATAAAATACGCAACACTAAGAACAGACAAGTCTGGGAATATGAAAAATGCCACACAAAACACTGTTAACTGATTTAAAAATAATCAGTATACTTCAACAAAGTTCACTGTGTAATTTTAGAAAAGAGGGGCAGGATGGTCCATATTTAGCACAATAGCACTTTTAGCTGGTTTTAACTGTGTCTTATCAACATAAGATAGACCCCTACCACAGAAGGGACATCTAAGCCTGTGCTGCATTCTAAAACCTCTCCATAGCATTGAAAGATGCCTGAGCAGCAGATGTACCAAAAAATGTAAAAACCAATGTGTTAAAGAAACCTGATGATAATGAAAAATAGTTGAGTTTTTAGTTTGAGTTTAAAAAAGTAATATATTTATAGTTATGAATAGCAACAGGAAGGGAGTTGTACCAACTGAAACATAATAGTCCAAGGCTTTTCCTCCCAGAGATTTAGGGTGTGTATCTACTCAAACAAGTAAATGAGGTAGAATTTAGCTTCATAAAACTGTATAAATCTGAGATATCTGGATATTGTTTTGCTTCAGTGAGAGGACCCAAGAAATTCATTATGTTCAAAGACCTGCCTAGTAGGGCATTACTTCTCCAAAACTAGCCTTCAAAGCAAAATTTAATCCCTCTGAGAGCTGGCACATGTTTTTTTATAAACTTCCTCTAAGAACCTAAAATTTATAAATGTTTTAATAATTTCAAATTTATAATTTGATGGAGGGATGTGAGCCTTATTTAGATTTTCAAATTTCTCTTGCTTGTTGGTTTATTTTCCACCTGTAAAATGCAAAAACTGTGGTTCTACCTGGAGAAGGGTCTGTCTCTCAATCAGTTGAGGCACACCCAATAACAGACTTCTGGGCCAATTGACAGGATGGCTGCAGTAAACATTTCTATTGAGAGACCTTCAATGAAATTTATCTCCTCCCTATTCCTGCTGTCAGAGCCAAGGCTACATGTAGACAAATTCATAGGGGCAGTACTGTAAGAATATAGAATTCATTTTTGTACTGAGTCGAAAACACCGTTTTTGTGTTTCAAACACATTTACCAAAGGCAGCTCATCACAAAGCAAAATTATCAAACTAGTTAAGATAAACAAAATGTGAATTAATGACCTCAGTAACCACTGTTTCCAGAAAGTGTAGGCTATGCTTTCAGCTGATAACAATCTAATCAACTCCACTCACTTCACTAATCAAGTTCCACTCACTTTTTGAAAAGTGAAAACTTCTTTCTCCTTACCTTTAATGCAATGTTTCTTCTCAGAGGCAATTGTTTGCTAGCACAATAATCTATATATCACTGTACCTTAGGCTAGTTATGCATTTCAAAAGAAATCCCAGTACAATGAACAAGAGTAGAACCTGAGGCTGATATTGTATGCAGAATATGGCCAGGGAAAGCCAGTACAGTTCTGAAGACCATTCCAGGACTTAGACATTGCTCCAGAAATGAACAAAAGGACTTGCATTTTCAGCTGTGAAAGGGCTTCTATGGTCCTTCTAGATTTTGGTTCATGATATTGCATTCTTCTAAATTAGCACCTCCTTTTCTGTAAGACTTCATAATGGAACTCTCTCACCTTGTGCTGCAAATTTGCATTATTATTTCTAAATGAGGTACACAGTGCAAAAGGGAAACAAACAAAGAAATAAGTGAAGCCAAAAAAATCCAACCTGTATGACTCATTATATGATACACAAACATTTTCTGCATCACTTAAGGAATCCATTATACCAAAAGAAAAATAAACTTTTTCTTAAAGTTGCAGAATAGGTAGATCATTTCCTCTGGATATGTTCCTGGCAGACAGGTTCTGAGAAACCTTGTTCCGAGAATCCTGTGGGCTGAAAACACAGCTGTTCAGATTCACTGCTCTAACCTTTACTCCATGGATACTCCTACTGGTAAGGCAGGCTTACCGGGCAGACAAAATGACAGCTGGTCCATTTCTTCTCCTGCACATAAATCCCATTTAGAATAGGATTAAGATAACTGGAAAACAACCTATTGACTGAACAACAAATCCCCTAACAAGGGGATATATATGATTCAAACAATTTAAAATATTTAAAGTGGCTTTTAAATACTTTCTTAATAATGGTCACCTGAAAACAGAAGCAACATTCTAGAAACCTTCTTCAGGTTACCTCAACTTACTGGTTTAGATTAGAGAAACACAGGTCAAATACTTTTCCAGTCTAACTATATAACATCCACAAGCAGGGTTTTTAAAAACACATAATTTTCAAGCATAAATTTAGGACAATACTTTAGATCATAAAAGTTCTAAGCAATGCAAACCCATTGATTTTAATTTGATCTTGAAATACATATCTAATTCCTCCATCCACAGAATGTAGATCCCATTTATTTCACAGTACAGATTCTGGCCCAAAACAGGCATCCTTAATTCTGATGTAATCCATTGCTGCTTTAAATATTTTTAAACATTCTGATGTCTACCTACACACTTAATATTTAAGATGAACTTCACAGAGGACAAAGGTAAAGTAAGTTGGTTTTGGGTTTTTTCGGTGTTTGGTAAGGCAGGCTATACTAACTTACGAAAGCTTAAACAGAAAACCTCTATTGGCTTCTGCAGCAACAATATATTTATTTTCACGAGGTGGTTGAATTTATTCTCTTATCCATAAACCAAACTTATTTCAACTCCCTTGTAATTTGTCTCTTGATACACCTCAATGTACTTGCCTTTGAACTTTGCGTTTGCTTTAATATTGTAATTTTTTAAATTTCAGATGCTGAACAAACAAAGCATATATTAATATTTTAAAAATAGATTTTAACTCTTCACTGGAGATTAAAAATGGGGTCTTTGCAAGTTTGAACAAAACCTCAGGGTGGATCAGAGTATAAAGAAAACATTAATCAATCCTTAATCCCTGGTGCAGAGGGGGGAAATCTGTTCATGTATACAGAGGAGTGATGACATACTAGAAAGGAGGAAATTGAAATTAAATATTGGTTTCTATTGAATTATAAGACTGCAATTTCACCATCAAGTATTCAATTCTGTAGCATCTTATAATTTGCTAATAATGAGCTTGATTTGCCATTCAGCTTCAGGTCATTGTACCAACATGTAAAATAAAACCTGTCACCAAACCCTGCTGAGTTGAGTCATGTCAGTGAATTAGCAGGAAAAACCCAAACATGCTGACTGACTCTTCTGCTGGTGTCCTTACAAAGACTTAAGTTATGTGATACTGAAGGTAACAAAGGGATTCCAGATTCACATTACACCTTTATGCTGTTTGATTTGCTTAGAATTCTTTCCACAACTGGATTTTACTAAGGCAGTTCCACTTGTTCTGCAAGTTTCCTAGATTGATTTTGGACAGCTGACTCTCACTCAGGTAAATGGAAAGGTCAAAATGTGCACCAACCCTAAAGGCACAGAATGCTGTTTTCAGCAGAAATCTACAGCAAGTCAACTGACTGAAAAAAAATCCAGCCTGAGAGCCACCAGCATTTTAGATTCATCTCGGTAACACTGCAGTGATGATCCTGAAATCCTTACTTAGACAAAGCTTCCCCTGAGTCCCAGATAGCTGACCAGTAATTACACAGATTAACACTTGCATTTAATGAAAGACCTGACTGCTTGAAGTTTATCTTACTTCAGGTTAGCAGTTCTAAAACTCTTCCAGCTATGAATACAGCTTTTCTAAAAATTTAATCTACAAAACTAACTTGAAACAGCTGTCTCAACTCCATGCCATCTACAATGCTAATATTAAAACAGGTTAAAACCTACTGGTGAAATAAGATAAATAATAAACTTTCTTAGTTTAAATAAATTAATTAGTTTAAAATATCTGTTTATCACCAGTAGCATAGAAAAACAAAGGAAAGATAAATAGGAACATAATAAAAGTTTACTTCAACTGTGGTCCTGTAAGAGTCTGGTTTGGGCATTTAACAGTTAAAGAAGCAGTGGCACGCTAACCGAGCACATTAAAACAAAGAGTTGGCAGCTCCTGAAGGAAAAGAGCTTGTGCTCCACTGTTCCAACTTGTCAGTCAACTCATGCCAGCACTCTCCCTGTCTGCCTCTTCTCCACACCCTCATTACATGTGTCTGTCTGGACTGATCTGCTCGTCTGTTCAGAGACTCTTCTGACAAGTCAAAAATTCTGCCTCTTTCTGCTCTGGAATTGGATCAAATCACCTCAGCTTTTTTTTTTTTTTTTTTTTGTAGCCCCACCAGGAGGTTTTCTGCTTATGGTCTCATTCTGTTTGCCTTCACTCCTTGTCTGTTTTTGATTTGTAGAATGGAGGAAGCTGAATTGCTGAAAGAAAGATTCCAGGCCATAACAGTAAGTGCTCATGGTTATAATTCACTATTTAAAAAAAAAAAAAGGCTTAGAAGTAATATTAGCAATGAGCTGCTGAGTGTTTGCTGAATAATGATTCAGCTCAGGACAGAAAAGGAAGACTTTGTCTGCTTGAAATTGTTACTTAATAATTCTAGTTTATAGGATATTGCTTTAAGACAGCTAAGTTGACTGTACTGACTTTATTATGGGTTGTATTGGTTGTATTGCACCTTAAAATTAAATTCAAAGCAGTGAAAGTATGTGTGCAAATCACTACTGGACAGTGTAAAACACACATTACAGAATGTTTGCCTGAAGGTCAGAAGGCAGCTAGAGAATTCCAGAACAAATCAATTTTTACATTTCACAATGTGAGATTAGAGATTTTTCATTTGTACTGTGGAATTAAATACAAGTTCGGAATTATTAATGATCTCTCCTAAGTATTGCTGTCTGAAAAGTAAAAAAGGACAAGCTTGGATTAAGCAAATTCCTCCTGTCAGTTTTCAGAGGACAGACTCGGTGAAGTCTATGCTAGAGATATTGGAAAACATTTTCAGTTTCTCTTCTGAAAGGAAATCAGAGTGATGATTTCTAGTGTGCAAAAGGAGCAACTAAACTATTTTTAAAGTAATACAACCTAATGTTATAAAAATTGGCTGAAGCCAAATCCTCCTCTGATTTGATCTCCAATTGAACTTATTCTGTTACAAAAGACTTAAACTGAAACAACATTTGTCCCGCTGAGATGAAAGGAAACCTCCGGAAGAATCATTCACTGTATTAGTTAATAATAAATAATGGAAACAAAGGCATTTGTCCCACTCCTAACATGACAGATTAGTTGTGAAACACAACTAGCAGAATAAATGGTGGGCAGAATTAAAGAATACCTTATTGGAATTAAAATAAATGTAAGAAGGCATAACTGGAAATCTATGGGAATCTAACAGGTTGGGTTTTGATTCAGTTGAGTTTTAATTATGGCACTTGATAAGAGCCAAGAGGACCATTTACTGTATTTACTTGAGACCTGACAGAAGCACACAATAAGGTAATTTGAAATGTTTTAGAGGGTTTAGAGTACATTTGTTGGTTTAACTGCAATGTTGCCTGAACCAGGGTCATAACCTGGACTTTGTCTCTAGTGTATGGGCTCAAAAGATAACAACAGCTTTGGCACTCCAGAGAAGTACAGGCTTCAAAATGATTTGTGCTCCCTGGGATGCAGGGGCAGGAATGGGGCAGCGCTCTTGGCTGATGAGGAATAATATGAACATACTGAGGCTGGCATCCTCCAGCTGCAGCTTTGCTTCCAAAGCAATACTGAAGCAGTTTTCTTTAAAGAAACGGGGGCAGCTTCCACTGTCTTGCATTAGAAGAAATAGGAAATAATTTTTGGGTTCTGCCTATGACTTAATTTATTACACTTGATGTATAAAGGAGCAATGTGCTCGCTGCTTTCATCAATCCAGAGCATGCAGTTGAAACACATGGAGTGTTCCAACTGCAGAAATGAAGTAGCCTGATTAAAGGGAAGCCATCAGCCCTACCAACCTGCAGAAAGAGTTGTCCAGGGAAACAACAGCCTGCAGTTACAGTAGCAAGCTACTCCATGGCTCTGGGGGGCTTGGCTCAAGTAAAGTACCTGGGAATTTCAAGTGCTACATTCCAGATGTTTGCTGTACAGGATCTAATAGGATAGCAAGGGGCACTCCAGCAGTCAACAATTGCACCTGCACTGAAACTTATTGGTTTCTGTTGTTAAATACCTGTCTCCTTGACAGCAACACAACCGGTAGGAGTTCTCAAAGCCTTTTGCAAATCTTTTCTCCCTATAGCAAACAAAAAGGAAAACATGATTTTTGTTTTTGTTCATGATGTTGCTGTTATTAAATGTTTTGACGCTCCCACGGCTCTGAAAAGGAAACTTTTCCTTTGTTATGTAGCTACCACCTGGTGCTGGTGTATCTAGACTGGAAAAGCAAAAAATAAAATGCCTTCATTTTGTTAGAAAGACTCTCATACCTTAAGATATGAAAACTTTAATACCTTTGATGCTTAATGGGTTTTAATGTCTAGAAAATTACAATAAAATAAAAATACTTTAGTTAAAACATTAGCTGCTCCATGGAATTGACAGTATGTGGCATTTGCCAGGGGACCAAGACCACCATCTTTGGCCCCACTGTAGAACAATGACACAAACTAATGGACTTGGCAGACTAGATATTTCACAAGACACTGCTCTGTGGATGCCATTGCCTTTCTTTCAGACAGATCCAGCCTAGAACACAATTCATTTCTGGGCACAAAAGTCAGGAAAGAGTCCCACGTGTTTCAGTAGGAGTGAAAGTTAACACCAAATGTTACCTTTCATGGATGCACAGCAGAAAGGAATGGCTGAAGATGCTCTGTCATAAAAAGCAATTCCTGCTTACATTAACAAGAGCATAGTAAGAGAGAACTTTTGGACTTCAAGGACTTCTGCCAGGAACATGATAATCTGCAGGGGCAGAGCATGAGGTTTAATAGAATCATGGCTCCCTTAGCTATCCAGGAATACACACTTACTCCATTAGATGTACAGTCAAAGCTTCATAAAGCAAGACATGATGTAAAGAAAAGGCATAGCAGAATGCATGGTAGAAAGTGTTCTAACAGGTTTTAAAAGTTATTTTGGCACATAAGGTTCAAAAAGATTCCTCATACTTCCTAGCTTCTGGAATTCGACTAAATTATATAGATATATAGAGGAGGTATATAAAAAACAATCTATTTCAGCTGATTAAATCTGGATAACTGTATAACAGACATTTAATACCTACCAGTGAAATTAAAGGATGCTAGAACACCAGCGGATACAAGAAGAAAACTTAGAGAAAAAACATTGGACATAAAAGAATTATGGACCTCTGGAAAAAAAAAAAAAAACAGGCAAAAGTTTCTTTACTGAATAGGTTCCTTATTATACACTTAGTTTAAAATACACTAATTTATGCCTTTATATATACTCAGGTTTCTTTCTGCACAGTAGTTTATGTACAAATACTAATTTCAGACTGCCCAAACTCTTATTGCATCCCCATTGGTACAAAAAGAATACTCAAATTGACTTAAAATATTTTTTAATAGTATAAACCAAGTAAGAGTTCATTCTCTGGCTAAGAATCTTATCCAGAACTTTAGTAAAGACAAAAAGAATTTTCCTTAAGAATTGTAATAATCTGTAAACACAATATCTTGTCACACTGCTCATCTAATGATGGGTCATTTAAAGGCCATTTATACCATGAGGGTATAGGAATATTTCCTAAGTAAGGAAAAGTGTGAAAATCAGAGAGCAGATATTTAGTCTTTAAAATGAGGTCTGGCTAAGAAAAATCCAGCATAGCAGCTTTTGGATAAAGGCTCACACAACGGTCATTGAAGAAAAGTTACATACTGTAGTGATCCTAAATCTGTAACTTGGTTAATTGTATTAAAGAGCATTGGCAAAACACGAAATCACTGCAGAGATAAAAATAGCATGTATTTTGAGGAAAGAGCCCCACCTGTTCTGTTTGGAGTATTAAAAAGGCAGACTAACACCATCAAGGAAAAATTGTAAAGGGTCTATAAATAACTGCTATACTTTGCAGACTGTGAGATCAGTGTTGATGTTCACCTGTGAAATCCCAGCACAGTACCAGTAGTGCCTGGCCAGCCTGTATCCTGCCCTTGGTCCCCATAAACCTTGGTGGCTTCTTCCACTTCCTATCCTAGCCTTCAGAAAAGCATCCTCAGAGCCTGTGGCCCCACTGCTAATTTCTCATTTCCAGTAACAGTGAAGTGATTCAGCCAAGCACACCATGGCTCTTCCTGTTTCCAAATCCCAGATCCCAGGGAAATGGTGGAGAACAACTCCCAGCCTTACATCCAGCACTTCCTTACTGACTTTCTCCAGTCCTTACACACAGCTGGTTCCACAGGTGGGCTGAAAGGGCGAGGCTCTTCCTCTGTTTGTGAAGAAGTTAACCCCTTCCTAAACCATACTTGTCTGAAAACAGGCTCTGTATTAAACAGCTGCCACCTTTTTAACAGAGCCAGGCTGTTCTAATTGAAAGGAAAGAAGGATTAGCCTCCAGTCAACAAATATTTCTGCACAGAACAGAAGATTCCATTTACTTCCCCAAAATGTATCAAGAAACAAGCACAAGTGTTGCTTGATTGGCATATGGCAAGGTGCCATGCCCAACAATAGAATTTTATAGCATTAAGGATGATCAAGACAATAGCCTATTAATACACCTTATTAAAGTTATTTTCCTTTGGCATGATTTCCTTCCCCCTGGCTGCTGAGGACACAAGGTACTAAATCAGTGTTTGGCCTCACACAGAGGAGCCACAAGGTTACTCCACGTGACAGTGCTATCCAAAAACAGGAGAGGCTCAAGCTTTGCCAGTGTTCAGACATTGTTCACCCATTTCCTTTTTTCTCTAATCTGTAATAAAAAGGATTAAAGTGGCACTAGGATAGACCAGTACAACATGAGGTTTATCCTTCTAAATATCAGCAGCCACAAAAACAGTCTGAGCACAAGCAAAAATTTTCTTTCTAAATTGAGAAAACAACACATATGAAGTATATTACATTCCTCTTGTCACATCTTTACCATTATTTGACTAACAAAACAAATTTCTAAGCCTTGTTTAGTCCTGTTTATTTCAGCTATTAGCCACAGGATACATAAACTCAGTGCTGGATTCACGGACAGCCCATTTCATCTAATGATGTATCACAGCTGCTCAGTGCAGACCATGCAGACTCTTTCCTCTCCTAAATGATGCGTGGGCTGCCTCAGGAATTTTGGTCAGGACCCATTTTTAATCTCACTCTGCATGTACAATTTTGTTCAACTGTACTTTCTTCCTGTTTTTTCCCCCTTCCCAAGAGTAACTAATTTTTATCTTGCATCATCCCTCCTCTGTGGCCATTAACACATTGAAGTGTACTTTGGAGAAAGAGCAGTGGAAACCATACCTGTGTAGGATCAAGTTATTGCTGCAAAGAATTATGCACTGCCTAAGCACCACATAAGCTTTATAATAAGGTTTTATTTGCATGGATTGATTTCACCCTACTGAACACTCACATAATTTTATTAACAAGTAATTTCTCTAAACAAAGTTTTATTGTTCTTAATTTGTAGGACAAAAGAAAGCTACAAGAAGAAATTACACAGAAACGTCTAAAAGTAGAAGAGGAAAAAATGAAACATCAACATTTGAAGGTAAGTAAAGTGTTAGATTTATGTAACTAAAGATAGCCTCAAGTCATACAGCATGAATAAAGGTTGGGGATTTTGGAATTCAAATCTTCATGCATTTAAGTCATGCTTTTACTGTCAAATTTTCACAGCTTTGTGGAGTCCTGCCAGGACTCCATTTGACTTTAATAAGCATCACTCTTTGAAAAAAATTACACTGGGGAGCTAATGTTACTTGATCACTTACATGGCATAAAATGAGATCATAACCAGGAAAAACTCACAGATGAAAATTAAGCCTCCCATTTCAGACTGGGTGTGTTCACTCCCTAATCCCACAACAGCAACCCTACTTGGTACAGGGTGCAGCACAATAATGAGGTCTAACTGCATTTTTTCCTAGAATAAAAACACCATATTTATTTGGCTGCAGGCTTTTGTCAGCTTGTTTAATTATTCTTTAGTAATATAATGCAGTTTCTCTGTATATTCCAAAGAAAAGTATAAATGCTGCAAATATTGTTCTCAAATATGGCCTGGTAAACTCAGGATTACCAAGTTAAAAGGTTTAAGAAAACTCAAGATCCATCTCTGCAGAGAACTGAAATTGCACCGATTTCTACCCAACACCACTATTCTTAAAATGTTTATAACAGTTTGGCAGTCCTTTTCATTTAGATGAGAAAAAAATCTATGCTTCTAGAAATATGTAAGACTTGGTATTTTACATACTCTTTTCATTATGTGAGCAGATAAACAGTCTCAAGAGAGATATATTGAATCTAACCAGGAGCGTGGCGTCTCCTCCAGCAAATGTGAGAGAAGCATATTTAAAACAGACTCCTCTTCAAAACAGCCACCAGATCCTGAGCTTCATCCACCCTTTTCTTTTGTGTCAAGCCAAAAAAATGAAAAGCCTTGATAAACCAGTGCACTGGGCCAGGCAAGCCAACACATAGCTATACCCAGGTTTTATTGGAAGCTAGTTACTCCAAGGACAGGCTTGGCCATTTGGGGAACATCCCTTCCAAGTCCTGTAGCCTTTGAATAGCAAACATGTGACTCCTCCATCATGGTACATGGCTACATCGAGTACTGAAAGTTTTATTCCAAGTTTCCATGTCTATAAATCCAGATGACTGTTCTGCCCTTCTTTACAGAGGGATAAACTGATCTGTTGTAGACAACCAGCTAATCCTCACTACTGCTGTGTGCAGACAGAGCCCTAGGGCAGTTTCCTTACAGACTTAGTACATGTTCATAGCTAAAATTAATAGGTCCAGTGGAGTTTTAAAAGTTAAGAAAGCAAAAACCAAACTTGTACTTATTCTGAAGAAATTTTATGGAGTTTTTAGAGAGGCCAAAACACTCCTGGAAAATACTACTGAAATGGTTTTACTTTGGAAGAGAACAGAGATTGTGATTTCTCTGCCTATTGTATGAGAAATCATACAGAAAAGCTTTTAAATTAAATCAGTCCTCTTGCATATACAAAGCAAAGCAAGGATCTGTTGAGCAAGTTATTCACTTGGAAAAAAAGAATCAAGCACACATTTAAATATGTACTTACATACACACGTATGCTGTATAAATACATACATTTCATTAGTTCTTTGGAGCACACAAAATGTAGACTACTTTTTCCAGCTCAGGATAGGCACCTAATATCAAACACATTAGTACATGAACAGCTTTTGCTTTATACCCTAGAAGTTTTGTCCCTTAATGAACATCCTTGCTTCAGATTAATTCAGGTATTTCAACAGAGTCAAACAACAAAATGATCCAGTGCATGAATTGCTTTAAAACAGATTTAGACTTCTAAAACATTTAAACACTGCAGTAAATTTTATTAAGGGCTCATTTTCCAAGGGATTCAGGCTGATTCCACCCATTTATACACATACCAGTTATATGCATGTTGAAATCCAGTGCTCCATGATCTATTAGCACAACTCACACCTGTCCCTTAGGAAACTATTGCAGGTTAGTAAATCTCAGTGGCAGAGATGTTCTTGTTAGATGGATAGCACTATCCTTTTCCTCATTTTTTCCTTCCTATTTATAACCCTTAGCAACAGGTTTATCAGAAGGTTGTTGGTTTGGTTTGTGGTTGTTTGTTTTTATTGGAGTTCTTCTTTGGTATTTTTTTTGATTGTTGCCTAAAAAAGAAAGTTTTAGCTTCCTTTTTGCAAATAGGAATCCCTGCTCTAGCTTCCCAATTACTTTGTTTGCTGCCCCCAAGTAAATTTTACTAGAAATACACATGGGGCATCATGAAAGATCTCAGTTATTTGGTACTAGTGGAGAAGGAACATTAATTCCCTACATGTGCTCATCTCTCAAATGAAGTGGAGGGCATGCAAGCAAATACACCTGTGTGGACAGGGCTTTGCAGAACTGCAAGGGGTATTGGGGGCTGCTAGTGTGGCTACAGAAGAAATTTTATCCAGCATTTCTAGATGCTCCATCAAATAATCCTTCCTTCTACTTGGAAGGATTTAGAAAGCTAAAACTTTCTACTTGGAGTCCTTCTCACTGAAGCAGCAAGGGAAAGGACCAGACAGAATTGTTTGAAAAGTGCAGTCAGTACTGATTTGCATGCACTTTCTAAGAGCTTTCACAGTTTAGTTGATTAATTTTCAGGCTTCTGACATGCCTGAACTCCATTAGTGCTACCTTGTAGGTGCTTGTCACACATCTCCTCCTTCCAGTGAAAAACCCATCAGGCCCCAAACAGCTGCTCCTGCACTGGCTTGTGCTGCTGCCTAGATGGAACAGACCTGAAACCCTCTTTTATTCAAAGGTTGTTTCCAAACTACACAATGTGTAATTCTTTCAAAAATGGCTAATGAAATGAAAAAGATTATATGGTATTTAGTTGGGAGTAGCAGCAAACTACTCTAGAAACATGCAAAAATAACACTATTGTGTCATGCTTGTATTTAGGGAGTTTGCTCTCTTGGGCCTAACCGTATACAGACAGAAGATTTTTGTTGATTTTAATACATGGTATTGGTTTCTGATGTCTACAGTGCCAGCCCCACTCTAAATCTTACAAGGAATTATCAATTTATTTTTGGAGACATAAGTGCTAGACTAACACTGTTCCAGCCAAGATGAAAACCTCACTTTTCTTGAGGCCCTACTTATCATTAAGATCTAACCAGCTTGATAGAAAGGGAATTAATAACTGTGTGTCCTCCAGCTTGAGAATACAGTATTTAGTGGTCAATAAGAGTTGTGCCAACACCAGGCTACATACATCTGCCAGATAATGTAAAAATATCCTATTAAAATCTGCATTTCTTTCATTAGAGCCTAAAAAACAACTACAAGGAAGTGCTGCAAAGTGATTCTACGGACAGAGTCAAGGCTCAGAACATCAGTTTTGAGCAAGCTGTGTTTACCAAGATTTCCTAGGACTCAGTGTTGAGAGACAGACTACTGTCCTGCAGGCAAAGGCAACTGCAAACATTGCTCTTACATCCCACAAGTAAAAAATTTAAAAGCATCACAGAGTGCCCAGACTTCTCCGCAAGCCTGTTTTAGACACATTTTCTATGACATTATATGTCAAGTGGAAAATTACTTTTGACTGCAATAAGGTCCCACATATACATTCCTCTGCCAGTTGGGCCTCAGTAATAACCTCATGGAAAGTGCACAATAAATAGAAAAGTGCAGGAAGCAACAGTTGAAGTGACTCAACACAGGATGCAGGCAGGGATTCTAACAGCCCCTGCAAGCAGCACTGAGGTTAATGCAGCAGAGCTGGGCACACTGCCTCAAGCAGCAGTAGTCAAAATTCAATGTAATCTGCATCCACATCCTGCAATTAACAAACTGTATGGGGGGAGAAAAGCAAAAACTTAATAAGGAAATCAGCTCAAGGAATCTAAATTATAACAGGGGCATCCATGGTTAATTAAAGTCTTTATATGTGAGCTCCTTTTTTGCCTGTTGAAAGAGTATTTCTAAAGAGTCCCAACTCCTTCCTCTAGGCAGCAACTGCATTTATACCCCTGAGTTAGACTGAAAGGAGTAAAAAGAGTACAAGAAAGTTGGCATGGCTTACAAGTTTCAGCCTGCAAATATGAACCTATCTCCAACAACATTTTTTATTTTATCAGGAGTATTTTTGAGAGCTCTGATGACTTTCAGGTACCACCTTCCCAAGTGTAAAGCAGCTGTAGGAAGCAATCAATGCATACAATGGTATTTTCCAGAGTTTGAAAACACAGCTGAGAGTGATACACTTACCTGTGCACACACAATACACCCATTTGTGAGCCACCACTGCACAGAAAGAAATCCACAGGTACTAACCACGTCAGGACCTAAATACCTAAGCTCTGGATTGACCCTGCAACAGCAGCTCTAAATACACAGGTCTGCTGAAACACTAAACACAGCAGCTGCCCATGCTCCACCTTTTCACTGCCTCTCTTACCCCACACATCTTCACCTACTGAAATGTGAGTTCGCTATCATAAGGACAAAGATCCTTTTATCTTCCAGGGGTACCATTGCATCACTAACTCCCTAGAGATCTCTTACTCCGATACAATCTTATTTCCAGAAACTTCTCATCTTTTATACCTCCTTCCAGAAGCCATGCAATGCCAGGACCCCAGAAATTGTAGCTATTGAAATAAAACTGTTGTGCTTCTGACTGGAGCCTTTCACAGGAGTCTGTTGTATGTATGGTTGTACAACTGGATCCACCTACCCATATTAATCTGTTATGCATAGCAGCTGACATACTCTACATTTTTGTTGGATGAACTAATAAAATGGGACATTGTAGCTAAAGACTTTGCTTTTAAGTCAATCTCGAAACACAGAAATTTAGTTTTTCTCGTCCAGTGGCGTTCACCGTGGTCAGGTTGCCTTATGCTGGATAGATCACAATGCTGCAGATCACATCTGTGGCATCAAGACAAATACAGCAAATGGTTAAGTAGCGTAACTCTAGCATTCACTTACTTGTCTATTTTTCCCCATCAGAAAAAGGCCTTGCGAGAAAAATGGCTCTTGGATGGCTTTAGTTCTATGACTCCAAAGGAAGAAGAGGAAATGCAAAAGCAGAATCAGGAGGACCAACAACGGACTCATGAGCTGGAACAAGATATTTTCAGGTAGGGAAGTACCCCTGCCCTTGTGCCTGGGTTAAAATGGTCCCATCCTTCACATGCTACCTTATTTTGTATAAGATGAAAGTATCAACAAGTGCTAAACACATGCAGAGCAAAGCAATTCTTGTCATGTTTTCTAGTCAGTTAGAGAATACAGAATGCAATTTTCCATAGTATAAATTGTAACAAACTGCACAATAACTATATTGCAGAGTATTTGTTGCTCTAATTCCAGATACCCTTTCCATGCTGTATTTGGTAGGTGTAAGCCAAATATATGGGGATTGCTCTAAGACAGCAAATGTTGAATCAGAACTTCAAAATAACAATAAATTTTCAAAGTTCTCCAGTTTCACTAGGTCCTGGCACAGCCTCTAATATGTAACTTTCACCATAACAGCACTTAGAACAGTACAGGCTCCCTAGTTCCATAAGCAACACTTATCCTCAGTTTTCTATGTGTTTTGTACTGAATTTAGTCCCGGAAACCTTCTCTAGCAAAGGTCTTTTTCTACCTTTCAGTAGAGATGTTTCTACAAATCTCATCACCTAGTGCTTTCCTATCACACAGGGCTAGCCTTTAACTGCAAGACAGTCTCATGAAAGACACTTATCATGGACATAGTTCCAGATTCTTATTAGCTCCAGTTAACCCTTCTTAAATACCAAAGAGCTGTGTACACTGTCAGCTCCTTCCCTGGGTCCAGGCATACTGACTGGTACTACCCCTTAGCACCCACAGAAAAGATGAAATGTTCCTGTTCCTTCAGATTCCGGAAAGTTTTTTGATCCTTCTTCAAGGCTTCTTCCTCTATTTCAATTCAATAGCATTTTCCTCTCTACTTTGCTACCACTGCCCTCCTACACACACTCTTCTGGCAAAGCTGTCACCAAGATTAACTTTCTCTGGTGAACTCCAATCCTCTTCCCTCCTCACTCCATCTCAGACACAGACAATAATTCTCTTGGCTGACAGGTAGCAGCCTCATGCTAGTTTGTGCTATAATTACACTGACTTCTTGCTCAAAAGCACTTTTCTCTACAGAACATCTTGGTACACACCTCTGTAGGGTTCATTGTTGCAGTGCTAGGAGGCAGCCAGCAAGCCCTGAAAGCATCCCAGAGGCTGTCACTTTGAAGGCATGCAAGAGGGGCCCATAAGACACTGTGAGTGCCAGAAAAGAACAGCATCTAGGGCTAGAATAGGCTAAGGAGCAACAAGGAAATGGTGCTGAGCAAGCATTTCCCCATCAGGCCACTGGAAGTTCAGCCCTTCTCTAAGCAGTGAGAGGAAAGATTAGATTCAAAGTCCTGTTGGCCATGGGCAAAGCCTGAGCTAAGAACTCAGGAAGGTTTATTCACAGGTCTTTTGCTATAAATTAAATTTCCTACACTCCCTAATAGCTGTTTAGCAAGGGCATCAAGAAAAAACACCCACACTGCCTTCTAAATAACATTACATCTTGTTTATACACACCCAGGCCAGTTTCAAACTAGCCAGCAGTGATACAGAAACCTAGGAATACAGAAACCTAGGAATAAAGTCCACTAATAAACATAAAATATGCATCATACAGTGCACAGTGCTTTTGCTACACCACAGTTATCACCAAAGCTAACAAAAGCCTGTCTAACCTTTGACCTGCCCTGTAAATCTAACATTGCTAAACTGATCATGTAGACTCATGATACAGTAGAAATAACAAACTGAGAGGCTCAGTAGAAATCTTTCTTCTGAGCATCTGACTATTAAAATTCACTTGATTTGGAGACATCCAGTTCACTCTGTTGATTATTCTGTGTGTGTCTGGTCTTCAGTTAAAAAAATTATGCATCACTTTAAAGACTCTTTGATTACCCTTAGACAAGACTTTTTTTCTTTTTGCTGAGAGGACAATTGCAATTGTTGACAGATTATTTACAGTAGTGGCAGGGGCCTTGCCATCACCTTCCTAAATGGGATCTCTGTTTTGAAACATTCCTCACCTGAGTGTCAAATTGAGCTGGTGTATGTCTGCTAATCAGTTCATTATTTTTTATAAAAGGGAGAAGTTCCATTCTTTGTGTCAATGACAAAACAGTGAATAGCAAGCAGCCTGAGCCACCTTGGACACAAATGGCTGAATGCTTTGGTTACAGACAAAAAAATTGCATTCACACTACCTGTCCCATTTCCCCTCTACATGTTGGAAGCTTCAAGTGAACCAAGGGAGCACATCCCTGGTCAGGGTATGAGCTGAATGAAGAATTAAGAGTCCTGTTTTCTCACTGAATCTTCAGCTAATGACACTAATACTTGATGGAATTCACTGCTAAACAACATATTTAAAAATGCAAAACAACTGAGGTCTATTCAATTGCTTGTAATGTGCTGCATGAAAGCAGATGTCAAGGCTATACTAGAGAGCTGCTAAAGCATTTGACTCACCTCAAAACCTGTGAGAGCTTGCTAAACTGCCTTTTCCCCTCAGTCTAGAATTCTTCAGGGTGGTATCTTCCTATCTGCTTTTCATTCTCAAGCCATTTATTTCTTTCCTGGGGTGGCATGGATGCCAACTGCAGCAGATCAGCTGATGGCCAGCAGCATCCAGGCAATCTCCATAGATCTGAATTCAGCTGCTACTTTGGTAGAGAAACCTTTCAATTAGTGTCGTGATTTCTAAGGTTTCTTCTCTCATCCACACCTCTATAATACTTATTTCTCCCTCTCAAATAATCAATGCTACTTGAAAAGAGGACAAATATTCAAAGGATAGATTTAATACAGTAGCTGTGTTACACTTCCATGTCTCTCCTAAAAAACGCAGCACTGTACAAAAGGTAGTTTCATATAATTGCTAGAATAGTTGCTAAATCCCTTCAAGGCAAATTGGGATATAACTTCATAAAAATGTGATTGACTTAGCTTGTAAACTTTGTAAACACACCAGAAAGATCTTGGCCTAACTTTGCAACTGCATGATGTTATAAGGGCTTCAATTTCTTTGAACTATACAAATCACATCTCTTAGATGTTTTCTTTCCACTAATTCCAGAGTGCACACTCACAGCACACACTGAAATTGAACCATAAAATCTGTTTTTGCAAGTATAAGTGCAAAAGAGATATTTAGAGTCCAGATGCAATTCCCATTACATGGTATGAGAATTTCTCTGTAAACCCACTGAAAATTGAATCAGGTCCCTTAATTATCATATAAAGTGATTGTTGGTATGGGTGAAAGAGCATATATAAACTGTAACTTGTTTCTTGATCACCCAGATAAATACATGGCATTTATAACCTTTGACTTATTTGGGGTTGTGTTTTCTCTTTTTCCCCATCTCCCTTTTTTCAAGTATCTCCAAGATTTTCCCTCCTCTTATTACACCTGTGTGTCTAGAAGTGTTTAGAGCCAAGACTAAAATAAACCCACAGTATAAGTGAATGATTTTTCAGCTCATTATGCTTCTGTGAGTTTTTAATGATTTTTAGATTGAGATTATTGTGATCAACTCTCATCTAAAATTAAACATGTCAATAAAAACAAAACATCAATATATTAAACAAAGACTGTTCCATAAGAAGTGCAAAAATATGGCACATGGCCATTACTTTCTTCTATAGCTGTCCAAAAATATTCATCCCCTTTGTAAAATTTTTAAAATTTTAGCACTGTAATCAGTACCTTTGATCAGGGTTCTAAGGCCATCTTGCAGAACTCAGGTCCAAAGTGTGAGCAGCTTTTAAATATTTTTTTTAACTTTTACTTTCATCCTGAAGGGTTTTTTTCCTGTATCTGTTCTGAGGTCTGTGATACCTTTGTATATCAAAAAAGAGACGTTGTCACCAACAGATAAAAGTCCATGTAGCACCCTGTTACTGTAGCTCTACATATCTGAGTTTAAATAGGGCAAGAGTCATAATGGTAATTCAGATTCCTCAGCCACACAGAAGGAAATCAATAATGCTTATCTGTCAACCTACATCCAGCTTTTCTAGGCTGATTACTTTAAAGGGATGGCAGACTTTAATCATTCAGAGTGACTCTGTGTAATATTGTGAATCTTAGCACACAGTAAAGAAGTCAAAACACAAAAATTCAACACTTCTTTCCCTTTGGGTTATAGACCAACATTTCTATAACTCTGTCTGTAACTTGGTCTCAGTTGTAACTATTCTGACTGCTCTCAGCAAAAGGTGGTATCAGTTGCAGCTGCCTTTGGTCTATAGTCATTGATTTCCAGCATGGATTAAAAAAAAAATAGAAGGCATATTTCACTCAAATATAGAAGCTTTGGGAATTTCTTTTTTTTAAGTCAAAAGATGTTCTTTTAAAAAGAACTATGAGACTAAAGTTATACAGCATTAACCTACAGCATAAGACATTCAGTTCAAGTCCCACTTCAGAGTTAAATCTGGAGCTGGATTCTAGATCTTCATGGAGAATTGACTTCCCAACTACTCAGCTAGTAAGGCAAATTCCATTTAAAACCCAACAAATATGCACTTAAGAAGAAAAGAGTAGTCTTGATTAGAAAGAATAAATAGGAAACATGACACCTGCTTAAGTTACTGCCTTACTCAGAGAAAAAACTGACCAAGATGCTTTACTTTAGCAGTGTGCTTTCTCCCTCTCTGACAGAGAGATTCAATTTTTTCTCTTGGACTTTTCTGTCTAGAAGAGTTTTTCATACAGTAAGAAAACAAAACTCTGATCAGGAAAAAAGATACTTTGATCATGATCTAGTATGCTGATCAGCTCTAATATGCAAGAAACCATATAGAGACTTACCACAGGAGAAGGGCAGGGAAAGGAGCTGTAACATCCAAACATACAGCAAGTGTCAATAGCCCAAAAGAAATTTTTACTTCTGAGGCTCAATATTGCTTTCACATAACAATAAAGGCTTTTAAAATAAAATAGTTAACTTACCAGCCAAGTCCTACCTGGCAAAATATTTCACGTTTAAATGTGGAAGGGTTTGTTTGTTGTTGGGTTTGGGGTTTTTTTCTTTTTAAATGAAAATAATACTTCACACCTTTTTCCCAATGTGTGTGAAACCATAAGTTGATCTCATATAAGAGCAAAGTTTGTCAAGGTAAGTAGAACCATCCCTACTAAGGTCCTTATTCCCAATGCATCAACTCCACAGTGTTGCCCTCTGCCTGGTATTAAATCAAATGCAACTGTCATTGCAGACTGGAGAAGGAAATTGAGGCTCTGGAAAGACAAGAAATGGAAGTCTCAGCTAGGGAAGAAGCAATTTTAAAGAAACTGAAGTCTATTGAGAAAACAACAGAAGACATAATAAAGGTTAGTGCTATATTATTCCAGAAATAGAAATTATTACTCAAACATCATCATCATATCCAGGGAAAGGGGAACTAGCTGGATCCCATGAGTGGTCATGAGCTTTTGCCTGAAGTGACAACAGTTCAAACATAAGAGGGGTCAAGATGTCACATTGTTTAAGGGCTCCGGTGTCCATCTGCTTATTTATGGGGGTGGGGGAGCAATTCCTATGTTTACTCATCTACAGCACATCTCTAAAAACAGCACTGCCACTGACACCAGCAGCTTTGCATCTCAGCCAGAGACAGAAAACGTACAGACCAGGTACTGAGGCTGGTCTGTTCATGCTCCTTCAGCTGATGTGCCCAGCTAAACTGCATCATGCTCTCCACCAAGTCCCTGACAGAGATCATTATGTATCTTAATGTTATCAGCCATTAGTCTTTGTCAAAAGGTAATTTTAATATTTTTAAATCATCTTAAACCCTTTCAAAAATACAGTGATGAAACTAAACTTCAGTTCTCCAGCTGTTCTTACATACACTCACACATTCTCTGAAGCTACACAGGGGGATCAGTAAAACTGGAAAGCCAAAGTAGGACCTGTAAAAAAACCTTTGACGCCAACGAGGTTGGGCCACAGCGGGAGGCTAGGTCACTGTTTAACACTTCATAGTATTTTTGTCCTTCCCTGTGTGACTTGGAAATCATAGTGGCAAAAGACCACAGAAATTTCACTCTCATTTTCTATGCTCCAGCTGAGCATATTTCACTTTCAGCCCCTTCTCTGTATGAAGCTATGCACACAAAAGGTTAAAACTATCAGGGAAACCAAAGCACTGTCTAGTCAACATCTTTAAAGTAACTATCACATTCATTGTTAATGGTTCTCTTTCCCACCTAGTCTGTGAAGACTGAAAAAGCTGGATTTGAAAAAGGTACGTCTAGCCAAAAGAATATATTTTAAAAGGTTCTTGTAGAAGTAAGTTAAAACATATTAATGCTTTGTGGATCTGTGGATCTTTACTCAGAGGCAGCAGACTACATATATGCCAGCATTCCTGACCTTCCCAAGTATTTCAGACCTTCTGCACTGAGAAGCACAGCACATGCTGACATGGATGATGAAGAAAAGAGAAAAGGTACTGCTAATCAGTAACTCCAGAAGGTGTCAATATGTACAAGAGCTTCCTATATATTGAATCTAACACACTTTAGGCAAAGAATAGACATTACAGATATGAGACATTTGTTCTTATTTAAACTGTCTTGCCAGTTAGGTCATCAAAACTGAAAGGTGAGACAGTGGTGTAAAGTAAGTGCCACTGAGAATAACTTTTCACCACTGACACTTCTTTCCAGCACTTCATTCTTCTGCCTAAGTAAGTACAGACTCCCTTCATATCATTCATTTCTCATTTTCTGTCTGCACTTACAGCTGTTGGGTAGCCAGCAGTAGTCAGCTTATTTCCCAACTACTACAAAGCCTTCTAACCCTTCAGAGTGCCCAAGACTCTCTGGCATCACAGCACATGGAGCTCTTCAGCTGCTATTGCCCAGCATAACACCAGGGGCCAAGGTTAAATCTGGATTTCTCAGTCTATCATGTAATGAAAACTTTCTCAACAGCTGATTCTTCCTCACAGAATGAAAATACTTTTTTCCACAGGATAAAAGGGGATATTCAAAATGAGAATCTAATATATGGGTTGTGTATGTGATAACTTCACATATTTAATAATTCATTCTGACAGTTGTTCTCTATCACTGTCAGAAGTCCTACATTTCTTGCAGCTACTGCATTACCAGTTTAAGCGCTTGTTTCTTTCAACAGCATTGTTTGCCATGGAAATAAAGGTTGAAAAAGACATGAAGACTGGAGAAAACACAGTGTTATCAACAATACCTCTTCCCTCAAAAGAGTTTAAAGAGACAGGAATTAAAGTCTATGATGATGGCAGGAAGTCAGTCTACGCAGTGTCGTCAAATGGGACCACAACACAAAATGGGATGGATGAACTTGCCCCTGTTGAAGTGGAAGACCTGCTACGGCAGGCAACTGAAAAAAATTCTCAGTCTCCCACAGAGTACCATGAACCTGTCTTTGCAAACAAATTCTGCAGGCCAGTAACTCCTCAGAAAGACAAATTAATCCCAGGACCAAAATTAGAAGGCACTGACAAAAGCGAGACGAATGGATTTAGCAATCATCAGACAGCGTTCTCCAAAACAGAGCCCTTTATGCAGCAAAATAAAGAGAATGGCCTTGATCTTCCAAAGGTCATACAACCAAAGTCTTCCTCTCCGGTAATTTCTCATACAGAGAAGAAAGTGCACACTAATCCTGACAACAGGATGATTCATAATGAAGAAAGAAATGCTGCACATGAGGAATTAAAACCTTACCAGGATACAAGGGAAAAACATAGTGAGACAAGGTTTTTAAATCCCTGTCACACTAACACAGCATCCCCTGCACCTCAGGATGAGGAAGATGTTCAGTACAACATTGTGCAGGCTGTCCCTTGTTACGTGGATGAATCGGAGCCGGTGACGATGGTGTTCATGGGTTACCAGCGCGTTGACGATGACGACGCAGAAGCAAACCAGAAGCTGTCCCCGTACGATGGGGTCATCCGTGCAGAACTCGTTATCATTGATGACGATGATGAAGACGACAGCAAATCTGAGAAACCAGCCTATCACCCCATAGGCCATTACAGTCAAGTTTATCAGCCACCAAACAGGAAAACCACAGAAGCCCAACAGACAAACCCTATGAGCAGTCTGGGCGCAAGCCTGAACAAGGTACCCCACAAAAATTCCATCTCCCTGCAAGAACAAGAGGAACGCTTAAGCTCACCAACACATCACACTCATCTGCACAGTCAGATGTCTGGAGATGGTACAGAAGATCCCTCACTAACAGGTAACAGAAAAGGAAAATCATGTCACTGCTGCTCGCTCATGTAGCAAATTGATATTGCTCTTATCTGCCGGCAACTGTATCACTTCCTATATTTTTGGATTGTTTCAGACTAATATGCTATTAATAATTTTTTTGCTCTTCTTTGTTAACAAATACCAATCTACATCTTGGATCTGTTGAATTATTTTGTCTTCAGCAATGCACTAGTTACCATATCAAAATTTGGAAAATAAACTATTACAGAAATGCCATTCCTATAACCTTGAAAGATTAAAAGTGGTTCTCTTTCAAGTTCCATTAATGCTACCAAAATTAGCAGAATTAGTTTTCATTTCTTGCAGGTAACTAATAGCATTGCTACTTAACAATTCCTCCTCCCTCACTGGCATGTTTTTTCTGCCTGTTTGCATTCCAACTACTTCCTAGACCATTCAAGTTACTCCTTAAATAAGAAAGGCTGCTTAACAATCAGCTTTACTTCGTATTTTTAAGGAATCAACATTGCCAACATTGTCTTGATAGTGTTTATGCAAGTTCTAACATTTTTCCATTAACCCAAGTTAGACATTTTTATAGCTTCTGAAAGATAATGAAACAGTTTTCATCACTACACACTGTTAGTTCAGTGGTCCACAGAGTTATTTTTAAATGACTTTTATATTCTATAAATACATATGGTATCTATTTCTTACTATAAACTTTTATAATAAAAGTTTGAAAGCAATAGCAGAATCTTCCAGAAAGACAGAAAACTCTTCTTTATGATTATGTTGCACTTTAACACATACAACTAGACTCCATTTAGGTATACTTACAGAGCAGCAGATTGCAGACTAGTCACATTCCACTTGAAGCAAAGAACTCTCTGGCTTAATTACAGGAAGATCAGGGGTCCTGATGCCACATTCTCTCCTCCAGAGAATTTGCAGCAAAAATGTAAATTTGACTCTGGCTAAAGCTGAATTGACAGCCCAGGAATTCTTTACACTACATGTAAAGCCGGGAAAGAGGATGATCTTTGGATCATGTAAGACCTTTCAAGTATTTTTGCATCAGTAGGCAGTGATTGGGAAGAACTGTTCACCAAGCAAGGCTCTCAGCTTTTAAGAGTATCAGCATCATGGAGTCATGCACACAAAAGCCAGAAACATTCCAGCAATGCTGCCCATCCTTCCTGATCAATAAGGCCACTACACTTTTCCATTACCTTTGCTTTCCTCAAACCCCCATCCTGCCATCTCTGTACTTCCCTGTGTTCTCCAGCACCAAGAGCTGCTGCCAGAAGCTTTTATATCAGCAACTGGAAGCAAAAGTAGTTAGTGCAGGTAAAATAAACCACTCCAGAATCTGCTCCAGCCCATTATATTTTGGGTAAGATCCTTTAATTCCCACATCACATAAGTATAGGATAACAGAGAAGGGTCACTTATAACTATCTCACCAATAAGAAAGTGGCCAACTGGGGAAAATGGATCCCAGCTAAATTAAAAGCAGTTCGGCAATTGCCTCAAAAATTCCCCCAGTCAGCACTGCCTCCAAGTGAGTATCTTCATGCCTAGTAGAATTTGGAGCTAAGCCATACTCTTCTTTAGCCCTCCACTTATTTATTGCCACTCCCTGGGACATTTTTGATCACTGGAAAAAGCCAGGAAGTGACTCAATCTTTCCCAAGCAGCCCTATAATCCTACTGAGACTTCTAAAAGAGAAACAAAACCAGGAAAGCCTCTCAATCTAGAACAATGTAATTATACAGAGCTGTTTCTTAGAGAAATATATTGTTTTCAAAGCAGTCATTGATGCCCACCCTAGCAGGTTCACCCTAAACACCACTAGAGAAAAGAGGGGAGTCAATTACTTTTGGTAGCTCATCATTAATTAAACTAAAACAACGAACAGTAAAACAAAAAACAAATCCTCTTGGAAACTAAAGCTTTGGGAAGCACTTACAGCATTTAAACATTAAACAAGCACTGGAGACTCTGAAAGACAATGGAAAACAAGGAAAGACCAGCATGATGGCCCCTTATGTAACAATTTTTCTTCAGGAAAGAGATGAAAGTTCAGAACAAGTTACTGAATCAGTTAGCAATGGCCAAGGACAAGGAGGCAGAGGCATTGTTCCATGTGCCAATCTATATAGAGACAGATCAGATTAAATTAGGAGCTTTTCATGCCCACAATCTTACAAAGATGTAGGACATACCTTTCCACATAGCAGCAATTTTCCTTCTTGACCAATATCTCAAAGTGTGTGCCCTCAGAAAACCAGAGGGCAGAGATACAGAGAAAAGGATGACAATTCTATAATTGGTACACCTGTATTTGCATTATTAGGGCTTATTTTCTTCTTCAAATTTCAGGCAAATTAATTCAAGTGCAAATGTTTTGAAGATGCAATACTCATTAGGGAAATGAAAAGTCCTTGGGAGGGAACAAAGGCTAGACATAGTGAAATGAATAAGGAAATGCAAAACTACAGCTGAATAAGCAGCAAAACATACTGACAGTGTGGAACAGACTCTCATGGGACACGAAGGTCCAAGGCTTTTGGCAGCTAGCTAGTCTAGATGAGCTTTTTTTTTTTCCTACCACTGGAAGCTTTGCAACCTTCAAAAAACACAATGGAGACAGCTCCATTTCTGTAGAAGAAAGTAAAATATGAAAATCTTTTTTAATGAAGATTCATGCACACCATCTGTTCCTGTAATGTATAGAACAAGACAAAAACCGACTATGAGCTAGAAGTGAGGCATCAAATTGACTGTTCTCAAACCATGACCAGAGCCTGAATCCTTCAGAATTCCTCAGCCTGTAAAAAGTACACAGTGTCTTTTGTAAGATCTAAGGTTAACATCAGTGGGTCTATGATATAAAGTTACACTCAGATGCTTCTATGATTTGCATCAACTTCAGCATTCAAAACATAGCATGAGCTGGACACTTGCTGACACATGTAAATCAAGTAAACAGCTGCTTTGGCCCCTCGTGTCTCAGCAGGGTGCAGGAATGAGACTATTTTTGGTAACTCTTCAAACTAGCAGGTCAGAGTAATGGAGATTATTCAGCAATGTGCTGGGGGGAGGTTTTTACATATCAAACAACAGCATTATATTGCTGTTCCAAAAATAACCTTAACATTAAATCATTGCCTTTTGCTGTCCCTTTCAAACTTACCCCCATTATACCCAGTAACAGACAATAGCCATACTGATGTTTATACAGGTGCTGTTACTGCATCAGATGAAATCAGGAACATGACTAACTCCCACTCTGACTCACAATACCGGGAAGAAAGGAAAGTTTTCTCTAAGCATCATCGAAAAGGAAAAGGTTCCCAAATAGTTACAGCTCCCACTGAGGAGTTTAGTTTAAACAAAGAGTTTGTTTAATTATTCATGTGTCCTTTTAATCTGTCAGCATGCAGTCAAGGGCAAAACTAACTCTGTGTTAGTGAAGGTAACAGAGACAAAACAGAAGGTAACTGTGCTAATTTTTAAATAGCAATTATAGAGTGATTTCTAAATATACTCACTTTATTGCAAAATTACCAGAACTAACACCTTCTACTGATTTCTTTCTATAACACTAAAACAATGCTTATTCTGCTGGATTAACCACCGGAGGTATGTGTATTCTTCATTTTTCTAAATAAGGAGATTTTGCTTCAGAATCAGAAAGAAAGACTTAAAATGCAATGGCTTTGTTTATTTTTGCAGCTCTGAGGATGAGAATGGCAAAGCTGGGGAAAAAAGTCCTTTAACAGCTGTAATGAAATGGAAGTAGAAATTACCACTCAAAGCAGATAAAGCTAAGAAGACTTTCTTCCACATACTTTTTCTGGATCATAATGCTTGTTTTGCTACTCTGTTTCATGGGCTATTTTGCCCTCTGCATAATGCAATGGACTTTAACAGACTTTCAGATTTGACCAACTGCCACATGCACACACATATCACATCCTGAATTTTGTTAAAAGTAGTGGGAAGTTATCTAAGGCCATAAATGCAGTGTATATACAAGTATGAAGACATGTGCATACCTGTTCTGACAATCAGAAATATGCTGTTGCTGTATACACAGAGCAGATAAACACCTATCTCCATGGAACTTCATGGGACATTGTTTCACATTAAAGTGTGCCAATCTATCTGATTTTGACTGAAAATGCTGTTCCAGCATTCTTTTTATAAAAGCATTGGTTAATAAAAAGCAAAATGGGAGAGAGGAGCAGGAAGACATGTAAATATAAAACATGCTTTCCTATTATACTACCTTGGATGAAATATAAAGCATTCCTTTTTAAGTGATAGCAGAACAAACAAAAAATAATTAAGCCAGCATATCGAAATATTTAGCATCCTTCTAGATCTCCACAGTCCATTCACCCATCAATGTTACATATGACAGTGTAGCCATCCCCACAGACTGCTCTCTTCACCATCCCACAAACATGCTGCCCACCCACGACCTCACAGACCAATCCTGTGCATAATATGAACAGCCTGACCTCCTGAGCATGGTTTCACCTCCCAGCCTGCTGAGAAAGCTCCTTGCTTTTCCAAGAAACTGCTTGCCAGACAGGCAGTGCTGTCCATCAAAAAAAACCAACCAAACAAAAAACAACCCAAATAAACAAACAAACTCCCATCAACAGAAAAAGACTCCAACGGCCACACTGTTTAGGTTTCAGTGGGCTGGGGAGCTAAAACCAGGCAAGCCTCCCACCAGAAATGCTGAATTGCCAGTAGCTTGTTCTGCAGCTGAATACAAAGATCTGTTACAGGCGCAGCCACTGCTGGGCACAGTTCTCCAGCAAGTTTCAAGGCTCCCACCAAAAAACAGATTAATTCTTTTCACATGGTAGAGGATGCAAGGGCCCTAAAAACAGGTTCAATCACACCTGGAGAAATCACATCTAAGTCAGATTTTCCAGTACATAGTTCTTGGGGAGAAGTGCCTCATAGCACACTACACCATTATACTCAAATCAGTACAACAGCTTTAATTCACTAGGTCTTAGCCTCAATTTGTAACACTAAACAGATAAAGCTCATTTTGTCTTATTCTGGTATAGCTGACTCTAATTATGCACCAGTTAAAAAAACCAAAACCACTAATTTTTTGCTGGTATTCTTTTCAAAGCAGGAAACTAAAGTTACTACCTCATACTGAGGCACGATGGTAGTAATTGACTGATTTGTAGCCTCTAAACATTCGGTGGCTCCCAGTCTAATGTGGGTTATAATCTCAAATTTTAAGACTTGTCAGAAATTGTTACCTGGAGAGTGGAATAGTAAATAAGAATAAATAAATTTTATTATAGTACACTTCCTCTATGTCTATCCTCTTGTTTTTTGCTGTTTTATAGTGTTTTTTTTCCTTACACTTCTTCTATCATTTGCTGGTTGTGCAAGCAAAGGCTTCAGCCTCAACTCCTAAGGATACACCAAAAAAATGAGAGCAGGTGAGTGATAGGAAGTAGTCACAAACAATTTTTGTAATAGAAGCAGATAGCTATGGAACTTAAATAATATGGGAAAAGGAGCAACTATCATCACAATACTGGTCAAAGTACTTCAAAGGAAAGACTAGAAAGGTTTGTGCTTCTGGAAAGTAGGAATGTTTATCACCTGATTGCTACAGCCCCAGAGCTTTCCTGCATCCTGTATCAACAAGAACAGAAATACAAGGGGGCAAATTATCTTTTCAAATGTCAGTAGAGATGCCATGCGAAACTCTAATTCATCATTAAAGCCAAGTGATTTCTAAGGCCCCACGAGACAAAAGTCTCTCAGAACCAAAGCTGAAGCTGCAGTCCTTCGTATGTGAAGTATCCTTTGTGTGGGATGATTGTCATAAACAGCTGGTTCAGAGTGATGCAGCTTTGTGGTTCACACGTGAAGTCACTTTTGCACAGCACAAGGAAGACCAGCAGAAGCTAGACAGTGGTTGAACTAGGCCAGGCAGGAACTAAACCAGGTGGATTCAAGCATGTTCTGAGGAATTTGTCCTCTGCCAGTTCTGCTGTACCACTTACTCAGATATGTGCAACAGTTTCCTCCTTCACACAAACCCCCTAAGAAGTCAGAATCAGATTTATGTGAGCAAAGAATTTCTCAGACCTACTAGGAGATCATCCCTGTTAAACACCCTTCCATTCACTTGGACTCTTCCTACTTCAGCCTGTACCAAAACCACTGAGGTATTAACTTCTGCATAGAAATGCAAAATACTGCAGTTTCTCCTTGGCAACTGCTGTTCATCTTCTGTTGTCTGGACAAGAATATACCCACATGACAAAAGAAAACCATCCATATCTGCTCAAACAAAAGCTTAATAATAGATAGCCATCCAACACCCATTCCAGAATGTCTATCTGTATAAGATAGTTTGAATTTAAAGACTGGGTTTTTGAAAATTTTTCCAATTAGTTCATCTAGGAATACTTCCTATTTTAGAAAACCTTTCCATGTCAACCTCTCACGGACAGTTTGCAGCAAGCAAGCAAAGCAGAAGCGCTGTTATTTGAACAAGGGCGCCACGCAGTGTTAGGCACGGATGGAACACAAAGCAGGCAAGCTCTCCTCTGCCCTCCCTGGGTAAAGGAAACACATGGCCATTATTACATGGAACTGGACGTCTCCCCATCTTGGGATTTCTGACAACACAGAACACAGTGTAGCACTCAGTGTAAGAAGGAGAAATTAAAGACACCTTCCCTGCTTCGTGCTGCAGCCTGAAATGTCAACTAACTAAAAAGTACTTAAAGCAAAACAAAGTAGCGGTGAACTCCATTACATTTGCAGCAAGTAATTTTTGTTCAAAGCACAGGCAAAAAATATGATTTGTAGCTAAGCCAAGAGCAGATGATGAGTATTTGGAGGCTGCACCTAATAATCAAGACAGTAAACTACTTGCGAGACTATTCACAAATTTCTACCTATTGTCCTGCCAATACCAAACCCTTCTGCAGATCTTTTTCAAAGGAGTACCAAAAAAAAATTTGGAAGATATTGGAATACGACATATGACTTCTTACTAGTTATGCAGGAAAAGGGAAGCAGTGTCAGTGTGTAAAATAAGCAAGTCTTTCAATAAATTAAGTTACAATATTGTGCATAAGGGTTCCCATAAGAAAGTAGACAATAACCACAAGCAGTGGGAAAGAAAAAGTTTATCCAGAACAGCTGACAATTTTGTCAATTTAAAAGTTGTATTAGATGTGGAACAAGGAAACTTTTTCTTCTTGAGGAAAAGAAACTGCTTTAAAAAGTGAAAATATTTTAACATTCAATTTCAATAATAGTTTCTCCAGGAAGGATTTACATAGCTGCAATTTATAAAACAACATCTACAAAAAACCAACAATCCATTTTGCTCCTAGGCAAGACTCTTCTAGTTTCCTTTTGACAGCATTTTCACATTACTAAAAGGGACAAGAACTTTTATTGAGATATTTACATTCATGTTTTAAAACCCATGTTCATTGTCACATGTAAATGAAACAACCCTCAGTACAGCTATTATAGAAAAATCTGGCATTACCTTTAACTTAAAAAGCTGACAATCATGCCTAGGTTGAGTGATTTTTCTTCTATAAATTCACAGTAGATGAAAGAGTCCCACAAAACTTCAGCAGTAGATGAGCCTGAGATTCCCAGGCTTTTTGAGATTAGGGTTCTCTAAAAAATCCTCACACTCACCCAGCTGGCCCCATGATCCTTGTCCTTCAGCTTGGGTTGTGACTCATTTCTTTGTAGCCCCCCTTTCCCAGGCTGCACATGACTTTCCTAAGGGAGATGATTCAACTTGGATTCACTAACAGTCAGCTGCTGCTGACAAAGGGATTAATCCCAGCTCCATAAATGCCCTTATGGCTAAATCAGGTATCTGAGCAGCCAAAAAGACCACTGACTACAAACAAAATGCAGCTTCCTGAGTATTACCTGTCCATGCCACAGGCTGCACTATGGACTTGGGAAGATGGAGGAAGAGACAGAACCAGACAGCTTTGGTCACCTGAGCCACACCTACAAGTATTTTAGAGCTGGCTCATCTCTACACTTGTAGAGATGTTGCTGTGAAAGTCTATACCAAGTCAGGCCTCACTACTCACTCTTTTATCCAATCCTCCCATCTTAACTCCCAGCTAGCTTAGTATGCCTAGATGAAAAACATATCTTGAATTGCTACAACTAAAAATCTATGTTTTTCAATAAGAAAAATGAAGATGTGTGGGAGCAAGCTATTCAGAGCCACAAAATACAACTGCAAAGCATGTTAAGGTTTCATTTCCAAAATGTCATTTCAAGAGCATCCTTCCATACTTAGGCAAACCATGAACCAAAAATGTGAAATAATATAGAACCTTTTTAGTCTCAGTATGTAGTTCATATATTTGGAGAAACCTTTCGTTCACTAAAAAATTGCCCTCCAATATTCTTTCAGGATAGAGTTGCTATAGAATTATTATAGCTCTGTCTTCTAGATATGCCAGCTCAAAGGACTCATTTAACATTAACAGAAGCTGCTTTTCCTGAAGTCAACCTAGCTCCCAATTTATGTTTTTCTCAATAGCACAAATACAACTGCAACATTCCAGAGAAAGTATTTTCACTTCCATTAAAGCACCAGTTGGCATAAATCCATCTCATTCACACAGTTAAGTAATACAGAAGCCTCAAGCAACCAAAGACAGTAAAACAGAAATTCATAAACAGAGCTAGGTTCTTCCTGGTTTGAGTTTTAGATAAATCACTATAGGTTTTAATGCACTTATATTGCAAACATGTTTTCTCTTAATTATTTAGAAGACAGAGCAGTATTTTGAGCAAGGCAAATGGTGGTTTTACTAAGTACTGAAGTTCTCTTAGAGCAGACAGTGCTTTTGCATTTTACTTTTATCTATTTAGTTCATTCATCAACCTGCATTTGTGACAATCTTTCACTAAGTTTTGAGGTTTGGTTGGGAGTTTCTTTATGCACAAAACTGTCAAGAGCAAGAAGCTGCCATATCCCATATTAGAACACAGTAAAGGGGACAGTTTAATCCAGACCAGTCATATCTTACCAGTCCCCCCAAAAATATTCACAAAAAGTTTAGGGAAATGACTACCCAAATAACATTTTTGGCACATCTTCTCAGTCTTCTTTTCACCTACAAGCTTCGGTCAAGTTAACCACTGTGTTTAAAAAAATAGAGATTTCATTCCTTACTCAGGCAAAGGTTCCCATTAAAAGTCCCATCAGAAGACAGCTTTTGTAGGACTGCAGGATTTCTCTCTAGATTTGAATTCCAGATCTCCCTAACACTGAGCATGACATACACACGCTGTTCTTCAATTACATCTTCAGGACCATGTTGAGAAAAAAG